GCGCTAAAGCATGTAGTAATCACAAACTAATGAAGAGCTAATGACAGTAATCCAGCGCCATCCACTGATGTTCTTCAGACTGCGGACTCGAAGCTGATTTTCTGGTTTGATTTACTGACTCTGGAACTAGACTTTTGTGTGTGAGAAAACAGTGCATGATGATTCATCTACTGTTAATTGTAAAGTGTTACCATGAAAACAAGAGAAATAAAAAGGCTAATATGGTGGTATATGAACAAGAAGATGGCTAAATGAAGCGAATAGGAGTCTAGTCTATTGTAGATATACACCTGCATGAATAGTCCTAGTTGGAATTATCACAGTAATCACTGCAGATTTGTGCCCACGGTTTGAAGGATAATCTGACCAAGCACTCATCTCCTATCTTTAAGTTCATTAACAAATCTATCCATTAAACATTTTGTGGGATTAGGAGGCATCTCCTCGAGTGTACTCTGTGCAAAAAAACCCAGCAAAAAACCTTTTCGTAGACTTTGAAACGACGATACTATTAATCAATACTGTCAAATTTATGTCTATAATGGCTTCGTCATATCACAGGAAACCAGTGACTACATTTCCCATCCTGCACTGCGGCCTACAAACATGGCCGCCATGGACTGCAATTCCCAGAAACACGCGCACCTGCATCAAATTCACAGCACTCACAACCACAGTATAAAGAGACTGTACACAATGACTTCGCGAAGTATTGAGTGTTATCACCGTACCAAGCGTTTGTATCCTGTAACTCGTTTTGTTTCATGTTCTTTGATCTGGTTTCTTGTTTCTCGTTCTCGAATCTTGCCTTGCCTCGTTTAAACCTGTTTACAGATCGCTTGACCCATTGCCTGTTTTTGACCACGCTAATGTCTCATGATTTGGATGCCTCTCTTTATTAAAAGCTCTTATCTGCACTTCTAACCTTCATTATGTCAGTATCGTGACAGGCATAGGATTAAAAAAATTTACATTTAATTTGCATTTTGTATTTACAGCCCAAAACATACATGTCGGTGTGACATATTGCCAGACCGTGGCGCTGGACTTACTACTGTGGCTCGCTCAAGCTGATATTGCCCCTTTTTTATTTTGGTATTCAATCCTCAATACACGCTCTTAACTCAATTCTGACCTGTTATGAAGTAATAGGGAGCGGCATCTATGTTTGTTATAACAGTTATAACTGCAATCATTGCATTTGGATTGTTAAAACATTAAAGGAGCTGTGGCAACATTAAAAGAGCTGCAGGAATATCTGGGGAATACTGGGTCATGTGAGAACAATCTGTCGTATTTGTCACTTGTCTGGGCTATGGGGTAGGTGGCTAGACGGACGGCTTTTCTCCTGATGACAAAACAAAACAAAACAAAAAACAAAACAGAAAATTCAAGCCCGCCCCAAACGATGAGGTAAAATGAATTATGGTCTGATAAGACACAAGTATAACTTTTAGTGCCTAATTCTATAAACAAAAAATATATAATTTGTCCACAAAAAACATGACAGCTTATCACCAACAGAATAACCATAGTGAAGCATGGTGGCGGCAGCATCATGCTGTGAGGCTGCTCCTCTTCAGCTGGGACTAAGGCTCTAGTCAAGACAGGGGGAATCATGGATAGCTCCAAATACCAATCTATTTAGGCACAGCACCTGCAGACAGCTGAGGTTGATTGTCAAATCAAAAATGTTCAAGACTCTTAGACAAAAAGCCGTCTAATACTAAAATATTAGTTAAAGGGTGTGCAAACTTATGCAACAAGTTTTCTTTTTTTCAATTTTTTTCCCCCGTTAAAATGTTTTTATTTGTTTTGCACTTGAATTTTGTTGGTTGCTATTACGCAACATTAAAGGTGGAACTTTAATTAAACTTCTGCATTAAAGTATATATCAAAAATGTCGAATTTTCCAAAACCTTTACAAGATCTTAATACTGTTTTTCATTAATTATGTGTATACTACAATTCCAAGGAAATGGAGAATAAATATTGTTAACTGAAATGAACAGTGATTGGTGATTGTAGAGAGGAGTGTTGTTGATTGTAGGCACTCAGATGTCTGGACGCCGCAGGCAGCACTGCTCCAGTCTTGATGAGGAGTGTTCGCCTCGCCTCGCTGTTTCTAAGCTATGCCCACACTGATTGCTTGTGTCCTTACTGTGCCACTTGATGGTGTTTTTACAGGCTTTACACAATAACTGACTATCTGATACGGGAGTCGTTGGAGTACTGATCACCTCTTAACTTGTCTGAAAAGCTGACACATAATAATAATCATTTTAAAACTTATGTACAGTGCCCACCTCTAATATGAGCAAAATATGATCAAAGAAGGCTGTGGAAAAAAATTAACAATCTTTATTGTTTAAACTTTTGATCTTTTATTCAAAGAATTCACACAAATACTCTGTTCTTATGGATAGCAAACAATTGCAAACACAACACAGGTTTATTAAAAGAAAAAAAAGTTTGTTCAGTATAAGTGTGCAACAATTATTTTCACCCCTATGAATTTATATGAGAAAAATATATTTGAAGTATATTCCCATTGATATGTGATATTGTTGTAGTACACCTGGGTGACTAGGAACTGCCCATTTCCACCATCAGGGCAATAATTAAGAAGTTTGAGTGGAACTCCACTACTGGAACTTCAATTGGGATCAGGTTCTATGGTCAGATGAAACCAAAATATAGCTTTTTGGTAATAAACATTAGAGGTGGTTTTGGTTCACACAGAGAGGTAGCCATATGGAAAAGTACCTCATGTCCACGGTTAAATATGGTGGTGACTCTTTAATGTTCTGGTAATGTTTTTCTGCCAGAGGACCTGGACATTTTGTTAGGATACATGGCATCATGAACTCTATCAAATATCAACAGATATTAAATGAAAATCTGACTGCCTCTGCTAGAAAGCTTCAAATGGGCCATGGTTGGATCGTCCAGCAGGACAATGATCCAAAACATACATCACAATCAACACAAAAATGGTTTACTGACCACAAAATCAAGGTCCTGCCCTGACCATCGCAGTCTCCTGACCTGAAACCCATAGAAAACCTGTGGGGTGAACTGAAGAGGAGAGTAGACCAGCATGGACCTCGAAACATGAAGGATCTGGAGAGATTCTGTATGGAGGAATGGTCTCGGATCCCTCGCCATGTATTCTCCAACCTCATCAGGCGTTATAGGAGAAGACTCAGAAGTTATCTTGACTAAAAGGGTGCCAGTAATTGTTGTACACCTATACTTAACAAATATATTTTTTGGGGGGGATAAACCTCTGTGTTTGCAATTGTTTGATATCCATGAGAGCAGAGTATTTTTGTGAAATTTCTTTTTTTAACAAAAGATCAAAAGATTAAACAATAAAGTCACTTTTTCACAGCCTTCTTTCTCATATTTACCAAGCGAGCCAATAATAGTAGAGGGCGCTGTATGTGTACAATTGGTGCTGGAAGTCATGATTAAGCCTTATTTGAAAAATGGAATAAATGGAAATGATGGACTGAAAAACTACGATCATCAATCTACATGATCTGCGAAATGGTTTCCATTGTTTTTTGGGTTGCGGGGAGTCTGGATCTTATCCCGGGGAACCGAGCCCGAAGGTGCGAGGAAAACATTAGACATTTCTCTTTGTTAAATAACATGTTTTTAATCCATGTAGAGTTTGGCTTAGATTCCATTATTTCGAGCATCTGCCCTACACGTCCCTGTGAACGCGTTGTCTCTATAGAAACAATAACACATTAAAACGGATGGATTAATATAAACCTTCGAATAAACCGTAGGTGTTAAATCAGTCCTGGATCTTCTGTTGTATACTGTAGTCACTTTGGCAAGGTGAACAATCTTCTATACATTGAAACAAAATGGCGTTCCTCCAGGACCATGCTGCGACACATAACAGTACACAAGACTACATGAAGCGCAAATACACCACAGTGTGAGACGAGTGCAAATACACAAAGCAGTTAAAACAAACAATTTTCAGATATTGTGTGTGTGTGTGTGTGTGGGGGGGGCAAGTTCATAGTGCTCTAATATTTCATCTCGTTCTTGCATGCATGACTTCTTTTGTTTGAACAGCGTCTCTCGGACAGTCCTGGCGTTTAAACGCACAGCGATTCTGTCACTAGCAGACATATTGCTTCGCGGCACGGTGTAGTAATTTACACCAGTCTGAGCCGATTAATTACTAGCACACGCATAACACTTATCCAGGTCGCTTCCGTCTTAATGACCCGGGGAGAGTGTAATATTATCAGGCGATCTTAACCAGGTTATTAAATATTACAAGCTCAATCATGTCAAATTTTGTTGCCTTGTTGGCCCAGGAACTGGTTACAGGGGCTAATCATCTAATATGGATAGATCATAATGAAATCGTTTACAGTTTTATTAAAAGTACAACAATACAAGATTTTTTTTTTTATGTACATGAACAGTCACTTTATAAGCATGTTTATATCAGAGAGACTGGGAATAACAAGGGGAAATAATACTCTGGTGTTTATCCATCCATTTTCTGTACCACCGCGTGGAGCCTGGAGCCTATCCCAGGGGACTCTGGGGACAAGCATCGGGGCATCCTGGACAGGGTTCCATCCCATTGTAGGGCACAATAGCACACACACTTATTTATACACTACGGACAATTTAGAGAAGCCAATCAGCCTACAACGCATGACTTTCGACTGGGAAGGAAACCGGAGTACCCGGAGGAAACCCCCGACGCATGGGGAGAACATGCACACTCCGTGCACCCCAACCATGGACGTGCGAGGCAAACAAACCTAACTACTAAACCAGTATGAATGCTTAAATCTGATTGGTCAGAAGGTGATTCAATTTGAATAGCAGCTGCTCTGACAGTGGTGCCGACTGCAAGGCAAATCACATTTATATACAGTATTCTTGTTCTAACACGTTATTGTTTCTAACGGTGGATAATTGTTGATGTGGTGACGTTTTCTGTGAGGAGACGTGTATTTGTAGCGGTCAGTGGTTACGACATTGGATTACTGATCGGAAGGTCATGGGTTCAAATCCCAGCACTGCCAAGCTGCCGCTGCTGCGCCCTTGAGCGAGACCCTTAACCCTCAACTGCTCGGTTGTGTAAATGCGCTCTGGGTAAGGGCATCTGCCAAATCCCGTAAATGTATATTTGCGCTTTCTGGCTTCTTGGTCACATTGGACCTTGGTTCTCCTCTGAGAGAGGAAAAACATCTGTTACGTAAGTCAACTATACACACATCAAATCAGAACTCTAACAGACGGGGATGTTTCCAACTCCAAGAGGTAGTGCCTGTTAGAAAAAAACAAAAGATAAACGATTTCAAACATTTGACCTTACCGTGACCATGATCTTGATTCCAAAATCAGTTCATCTACTGGTTAGAGTGATAATTACATATCAATCCTACAACCATTCAACCACTTGTACTTGAGATATCGCTCTAATGAGAACCTCAGATGGACACATAATCAGCTTGGGTTCCCTTTTGAGTCTGTTTCCTCTTAAGGTTTCTTCCTCATGTCTTCTCAGGGAGTTTTCCCCTCACCACTGTCGCCTCTGACTTGCTCATCCGTGATCTAAATCTAAATCCAGATCCAAATTTCTGTGAAGCTGCTTTGTGACAATGCCCATTGTTAAAAGCGCTATACGAATACAATTGAATTGATTTGAAAGCGTAATGCTTCCATACTCAGACCTCCAGAGTTGGGAGTTCCATGCTTCAGGGGTTTCCTTGGGGTACTCTGGTTTCCTCCTCCAGTCCAAATACATGCATTAATAGGCATTTCCAAATTGTCTGTATAGTGTGCATGCATGTGTGATTGTACCCTGTGATGGGTTGGCACCCTGTCCAGGGTGTCCCCTGCTTCGTGCCCCGAGTTCCCCGGGATAGGCTCCAGGCTCCCCGGAACCCTATCTAGGATAATTGGTATGGAAAATGGATGGATGCTTCCACCCCCTAGTTACAGAGGCATAAAAAACACTTTGGGATTTGCAGTTATTGGAAAATAATCAACTTTGTGGTAGCAACAGTAATTCTGCTTCATGCCAGGCCTCATCAGACCAAACCATTTTCTGACCACAGCATGCCTCTGAGTGTTTTATTCCTCACATTGATCATACAGTTGTATTGCCATGAAATATAAAGAGAAGGCCTGGGACAATTGGACATCCACAGGTAGCGAACATTGTTATTTAACAACACTGAATTCATATCAGTGTAATGCAGTTAAATATGAAACATTGAAACGCAGGAGCTCAGAAAAAGACACGCAACTTGATTGAGATTCTGGGCGCAAAAACCTTTCTATCACGTCTACAGTGGGCTGGAAGCACCTCGGTAATTGCATGCCTCTTCCTCCTCCTCCTCCTCCTCCTCCTCGGCAAAACCGCCTGTAAACTCGGCAGCCTACATCGAGAAGATAATGCATCTACCTCCCTATCCACAGCTCCACACAGATTAGACGAAAGATTATCAATAGGACGTTCCTGTCGGTGCTGTTTGTGATTGAACCCAGACAGCACGGGCTTTTAAGAAATAGACGTTTGCAGGATTCATAATAACGGCTAGTAATACGATTTCAATAAATCTTTTTAACTAGATTAAACCCGCAGGGGCTCCGTGCTATTCGAATTTAGTTACAGTGGTGGAAATCACAAGCCTCCATTATCTAAATAATTATTATTGTGCTATTACAGTCATTAGCCAATTTGACTGGTCGCTCGAACCAAATGAGTTTAATTCAAACCTCAGTAACTTAAAAACATGTGTCAACTTGAATCTAATGAACATTTTAGTGAAGAATTGTTCTGTGAGTGGAAAATTCAGGAATTAAAAAAACAAAAAACAAAAAAAAACAACTCTAAGGCTCCAATAAATAGCCCAAACACAGTATTTGAAAAGCTGGATTATGTTAGCAAAATAAATCTGTACTTAGGGAGTACATGTTTTTTTCCTTCCTCCATTAAGGGGCTCACTGGCTTCAAAGAGTTTAAGAAGTCCTGAACTGAAGCATCTGCAGACGTTTCAGGGTTTTTTTTTTTCTGGGTCAGAGATGAAGTATGTGTTTTTGGTATCTGAAGGCTGTTTGTTTTTCAGAAAACGATTCACATGCATGAATGTTCTATAACAGTAATTCCTAACCTGAGGTAAGGGGGTGGGGGTTGGTCCGGGATGGGGCGTGTTGTTGGGGGCGGGGGGTTGGGGGGGGCGTGTGATCTCATTTGCTTTGAGGTCAAACATGCATTAGATGTTGCACTATAATTTAATTGTAAAATGAATACATTTAAAAATCGTATTAAGAAATCATACGCTTGCAATGCCAAGGCCAATCTGAAAAACAATAACGATGGCAGAGAACCTTAAAAGCACTAATCCCCGGGAAATAATTTTTGTGCACGCCATTGACTCGCGCTCAATCAGTTTCAGCTAGCAGTTCGCCTTTTTTTTTTTTTCTTCCTTCAGCCAGACCTTCACTATTTTCTACGTAAAAAGTGCTGGTGACTAAAAGGAAGCAAGCCTATATCTCGAGCGTTATCGTCACTTCGGATTTATTGAAGGACAGGTCAGGACTTGGCAGGAACGCGTCGTTTGTGGTGAGAAGCTAGCTAACGACTGCATGAATCCGAGCGAAATGCAACGAAACCGGGAAACCAAGCGCTGGGAGACTATTGGTGAAGGTCAGGATTTTGTTTTGGAGAGGAAGAAGCTGCTGGCACTATCAAAAACATCCACAGACAACAGAAAAGCGTTTGAAAGAGCAGGCAGTGATTTACGCAGAGCCACGGAGGCGTCATTTGAGTGTTCGCTGTTAATTGCCGAGGCTTAAAAGCCGCACGATATTGGAGAGCGGCTAATCAAATCCGAATGCCTGACAATTGTAGAAAGGCTGCGTGGCCCACAGGTGGTGGATGAAGAGAGAACCGTCCCACTCTCTGACGACACTTTTAAGGACAGGATTGATAAAATGGCTGGAGATTGTCAAAACCAGCTGCATGCGAAGCTTACAAATGTTCCCTTTGGATGAAACAACGACGGAAGAATCCGTGCTCATCGTTTACGTGCAATATATTAGTAGAAAGTGATTAAAACATTGGACTTCTGATCAGAAGGCCATGAGTTCAAATCCCAGCACTGCCAAGCTGCCACTGCTGGGCCCTTGAGCAAGGCCCTTAACCCTCATTTGTAAAAAAAAAAAAAAAAAAAAAAAGAGATTAATGTAAGTCGCTCTGGATAAGGGCGCCTGCCGAAAGTCTGTGAATGAATATTGGCAGTGATGACTTGAAACAAGACATACTTATGTCTACCAATCTAGACACAACAACACCAGGCCATGATAATATTTATAGCAATGGACTCTTATCTCTCGTCCAACAATCTGCTCTACGAGAACATTGTAGCATGCACCAATGGGGCTGCAGCGTTGATGTGCAAAAACAAGAGATTTAACAGCCGATTGACAGAAAAAACCCCCGGGGTGCGCAAGTTTCCACTGCATGCTACACCTCCAAGCATTGTCCAGTCAAAAACTTTCAGAAGACCTTAGTAACACCCGGGCAACTGTTGTTAAAGTTGTACACATCATTAAGACTCGCCTTACTAACAAGACACTGTTTGCCCAGCTGTGTGAGGATGAAGCGGATCAAACACTGCTGTTAGACACAGAGGTGCGCTGGTTGTTTTATGGAACTGCAGGAAATATTAAAGGCGTTCGTGCAAGATGACAATCGACCACTGCGCGAACAGCTGAACGATGCGTTTTGGATCAAAACGGCATACCTAGCAGATACATCCATCGTCTATAATGAGACGAACAAGCTGAATCAAACGTCATGCGGTGCAAAGACGCTCTCGACGCGTTTGTACGGAAACTCGCAGACATAGTTGGAAAAATGTCCAAAAGGGAGCTACGACCATTTCCACCGCTGATGAAACGGTCTGGTGGTACTGTGCCTGCGTCTTTACGCACCGACTTTACCTGGCACACGAGCGTGCTTCGGGGGAGAAATGAAATCCCGTTTTGGCGTGTACTTATCAAAGGAATCGTGAGTGTCGGACAATTACAATTGAAATACCTCGGCTGTGAAGATGAGCTTGCTGTTTTCGAAGAAATATTTCTAGGAGAACGGATACAAAACGTTTTGGATTGTCAAAGGACGCGCTGTCGCACCCAGACTGGCCAAACACGCAGCTACGATGGTTATTCTAGCATCCAGCACTACGTACCTGTCGGAGACGGCCTTCAGAGCGTTCGTAACGTTAAAGACTAAAGCTCGTAACAGGTAGCAGGACTTAAGGCTGGCTTTCACTAGCATCCCACCTGACATCCCAGCCCTGGTCAGAGGTATTGCAGGCCCAAGGTGCCCATTAGTTTTTTTAAGATAGGGGGCTCAGCTTTTCTTAGATACAACTAGGGGAGGGGTCTCCAAGGAAAAAAGGTTGTGAACCACTGTTCTATCTAACAAAAAAATGTTGGGTTTTTTTGAGTGCCACAGACTAACAGTGATAATGAGAAATGACAGTTTGGGCATTTCTTAATTTGCATACACTGTACACTGTACTTGTGAAAAATGTTGTTTGGAATTTCTGTGTGTGTGTGTGTGTGTGTGTGTGTGTGTGTGTGTGTGCGCGCACTGAAAGCATAATGTATTGCCTCGCTGTGTTCTGTCTCTGTACTGACACAGCAGCAGTCCTGAATATTTTATCACAAGAATGCTGCTTCTGCTCTTATATTCTCTGTGCCATGTGTGTGTGTGTGTGTGTGTGTGTGTGTGTGTGTGTGTGTGTGTGCGTGCGTGCCTGCTGATGCGCTCCACGCTTTTGATACTGCCAGGAAAGCCAGAGTAGTGCATTAACACTCAGGAAAAGATGTTTTCAACCACGCTCTTCTCTCAGGCCGCATTTCTGTCTTATTCTGTTTCAGCCTCTCTTCCTGCGTGCACTGCACTGTCAGACTCAAATATAAGCAGAGCATAAAATAGCAGGGAGCTGGTAGAGGAAACACGTAAATATTTCACCACTTTTCCTGACTTTGAAAGCAATGGTTGAA